CTAAAATGGATGAAGTTGCTCTTATCCTTATTATCGCCGACGAAATAATGGAACAAATTTTGAACGTCCTGGTGGATATGTAGTTGATAATCGTCATGTTGTTCCATATTGTCCTACTTTATCAATTATATTTAATAGTCATATAAATGTTGAAGTAGTTTCAAGTATTAAATCAGTTAAATATCTATATAAATATATTATAAAGGACAAGATGTTGCTGCCATAACTATTGAACCAATAACAGAAAGTGTTGTTATTGATCATAATGAGATACATAATTACATCGAAGCTCGTTATGTTGGACCTGTTGAAGCTAGCTGGCGTATTCTTAGTAAAAAACTACAAGATAAAAGTCACTCTATAACATGTTTACCAGTCCATCTTCCTAATGAGCAAAATATTATAATTGAAAATGAAAACATTGACGATGCAATGACTTCTGCTTTAGATCAAGTTACTATGTTAATAGATTATTTTTCATTAAACTTACGCGATGAAGAAGCAAAACAGTATTTGTATAATAGAAATTCCAAGTTATTATACATTTAAAAAAGAGAAAGTTAACGGTAAAAATGTATCACGTTGAGTCAAACGCAAAAGTCATTATAATTGTATAGGACGAATGTATTCCGTTAGTCCAACACAAATAGAATTATTTCATTTACGATTATTGTTACTCACAGTAAAAGGGGGCCACAAGTTTTAACGATTTAAGAACGTTAAATGGAGAATTTTGTCAATCATTTTCAGCCGCATGTTTTAGGTTTTGATGGAAGATGATAAAAAAGCTATGAATGAAGCTGTTGGATGGATGATGCCACGACAACTTCGTAGATTATTTGTACGTATATTATTACATTGTCAACCATTACATCCTGAAGAATTGTGGGAAAACTTTAAAGTAGCAATGTCTGAGGATTATATTCAACATTTTGGTATATTACAAGGACAAAATAAAGCATACGTACAAATTAATAATATGCTTCGTGCTGAAGGTAAAAGTTTTGTAGATTTTCCACAAATGAAACAATTAACAGAAAATGACGAAGAAGAGAATTGCATGATATTTGAAGCTATGGAAATAGGCACAAACAATATAAACAATTAAATAATAAGCAGAAAGCGATCGTCAATCTTATATTAAATGAATTAAATAATAATATTACCTCAAATAATTGTTTTTATATTGATGGTCCAGGTCCAGGTGGATCAGGTAAAACATATATATACACAACTATTTATTATTTAGCTAGAATTAGAAATAAACGTACAATGGCATTTACGGGTATTGCAGCTACCTTATTACCTTTTGGAAAAACAGTTCATAAGATATTTGGATTACCAGTTTCATTATTTGTTGATTCATCATCAACTATTAAAATCCAATCAAAAGAAGCTCAATATTTAAAAGAAATTGATATTTTTATTTGGGAAGCACCAATGGCACCACGATATGCTTTAGAAATAATGGATCGAACATTGCGTGATATTATGAATAATGATATTCCTTTCGATGGAAAAATTGTTTTATTAGGTGGTGATTTTAGACAACTTTTGCCTATTAAAGTACTGCTACTCGAAGTGAAATTGTAAATCTTTCTATTAAGTTTAGTTGTCTTTGGAAACATTTCGTAAAATTCTCTTTAATATACAAAATATGCGAGTTCTTCCAGAAGAAATTGAATTTGTAAAGTTTTTACTGAATGTGTTGGAGATGATACATTAAATGATCTTAATGATAATATACAAATTCCTGAATGTTATATAGCGTCTATTAATGTTGATATTGTGGAACATATATATGGTAATTTAATAAGAAAAAAAGAGTTTGTTAAAATGTCTAAATGTGCCATACTTTCTGCAAGAAATGTTGATGTAGATGAAATTAATAAGAAAGTTGTGGAATTATTAGATATAAATGATGAACGAATTTATACAAGTGTAGACACTGTTGTAAATAATGACAATGGTGACATGAGTGAAACATTGTTACCAGTATATTTAAACTGTTTATCTCCATCGTCTCTTCCTCCTCATGAATTACGTTTAAAACCAAATAGTATTATTATGTTAATTAGAAATTTAAGTATCAGTGAAGGTCTTTGTAATGGCACTAGATTAATGATTATAGAGCTTACAGATCATTTATTAAAATGTAAGATTTTAACAGGTGACAAAACAGGAGACATTGTTTTTTTGAATATAACGTTATATTGCGAAAATATATTTCCTTTTACTTTTTCCAGAAGACAATTTCCAATAAAATTAGCTTTTGTCATGACGATTAATAAATCACAAGAACAAACGTTTGATAGAATTGGATTAGATCTTCGCAAAGATGTTTTTAATCATGGACAATTTTCTGTTGCTTTTTCGCGAGTTCGTTCTTGGCAAGCATTAAATGTTTATCTTGGTAATCAACGAAATAACACATTTGTTAAAAATTATGTATATAAAGAAATTTATATTTAATTTTTTGTTTTTAAATGTGAAAAAACAATTTTGTTAAAGCAACAATAATAATAATAATAATTTGTTCAGCGAATATATAAAAATTTTTTACAAATATAAATTTTAATATTGGAAAATTTTACATTTTATTTAAGAGTTATAAATTTCTACTTATAAAAAATAAATACAATACATATAATCAGCATCTGCTCAAAATCAATCAATTTTTTTATATGTAACTTTCATATAATATAATTTTTTACAAATTAATAACTCAAGTATATAAATTAATAGATACCTCAAGCTATATAGTACATTACAATAAATAAAAATGGAAATCTAGACATTTCGATCTATTTCTTCTTAATAAATTAAATTGTAAGAAAAATATTATAATACTTTTACATTTGGTATGATGCAACAAAAATATTGATTACGCTGTATATATAATTGTGTAATATAATAATAATAATGAAAAAACTATTAGTATGATTAAGCAGAATAAACACAAAAATAAAAAAACTATAAATACACTGTCGTATAAAATTATAATATATAACATAAATGTACAAAACAAAACATGATATTGTATTAGAAATTTATTATAATGAAAAAGTTGTAGAACGTCAGACGAAAAATAAGTTCAATATTAATACATAAAAATAATGTCAAAACTCAGCTGGTTTGTTTTTAATTTGAACCATTGAGAAGAATGTGAAGTAAATCGAAATGTATAGAGCTCTATTACTTCTATTTAAATAATTGAAATATATTTGTATCAGAACATGTGAAAGATTTCAATTACATTTTCCATTATTTAATATAATATTTATATTATATAATATAATTTATTTATATAATATAATTTACACATTATATAAATGTATATTTACTTTATACACGTTATACATATTTAAATAAAACATTTGTTAATATATAAAATCAAAATTAATTTGTTTATTCTATAGAATTTAATATTGAATTATGTAAAGTCATATTATATAAACAAAATCGTATGTATAATATCACAAAAGAAATATTTTTATCAATTTTTTTGTTGAGAAGATAAAGTAAAATAACAATAACTATGACATTATGTGGAAGTTGGATTCCTCTTATTCTGATCCTGTGAAAAAAATAGCAGGAATAGCGCGAGATTCGACCCTGGGTCGGGAAGACGACGACGGAATCGTCAGAGCGAAAGCGACTAACAAAAGCTATAAAACAAATGATGATAATTCCGAATCGTAAAACTTTTCTTTCACAAACCTGGGGCATCTGCTACGACGTAATTGCTACTTCGAAGTTTACCGATCCTTCTTTTGTTTTATAAGTACTTAGGTTTTGTTAGTTCTGCCGATCCTTCGTCCCGCAAACACGTCGTCGTCTTCCCGACCCAGGGTCGAATCTCGCGCTATTCCTGCTCTCGGAATAATTTAATTCGGGTTAATTCATATCGTCATAGCCATGTCCTATTCGAATGAAGAAGCATATGATATGTTGCTAATTTTGGGTGAGTGTCGAGGTACATTCGCTGCAGCAGAAAGATTGTGGCAAGAGCGATTTCCTGATCGGACTCCTCACTCGCGTAACGTTTTTTCACGTTTAGCTAACCGAGTCAGGACCGAAGGTGTCGTTCAGCCTCAACATAACAAAAATCGACAGATCCGCCGTCCAATTAGGAATGAAAGAGCAGCGGAAATTCTTGCATCAACAGAATTGAATCCTCATGATTCCTTGAGACGCCGAGAAATAGATTCTGGAGTTAGTCTTACCAGTATCTGGCGCATTTTGAGTCAAAACAAGTTTCACCCTTATCGAATGTCTCTTCACCAAGCTGTAAATTATGATGATTGTCAAAATAGACTTGCATTTTGCAACTGGATAAGACAACAACCACCTAATTTTCATCACAAAATTTTATTTTCTGATGAATCTACATTCAAATGTGATGGAAGTGTCAATACGTGGAACTGTCGTTATTGGTCGCAAGTTAATCCTCACTGGTTGAGAGAAATAGATCATCAGCATATTTGGAAGGTGAATGTTTGGTGCGGCATTATTGGAAGCCAGATCATAGGTCCTATTTTCTTTGAAGAAAATTTAAACGCTGTTAGATATTCAGCCTTGATAGAGACAGAACTTCCTGTCTTATTAGAAAATCTACCTCTGCGATTGCGCCTGGATATGTGGTTCCAACAAGATGGATGCCCGTCACATACATCAAGAATTGCCCGTGCAGTACTAAATACTATGTTTCCCAATAGGTGGATAGGCAAATATGGTCCGATCAATTATCCACCCCGCTCGCCAGACCTCACTATCCTGGATTATTATTTGTGGGGAAGGGTAAAAGACTTGGTGTATCGTGAACGCCCAACTACAAGGGACGACATGATTCGTAGGATAAGAGAAGCAATTCAATTCTTAAATGCTGATGAAATTCTTCGAGCAACCAATTCCTTCCAAACCAGAGTAGATGCTTGCATCGCAAATAACGGTGCTCAGTTTGAACACTATCTCACTTGAAAATACACAGCAGAGAGGGTTTAGAGTTGTAAGATATTGGGGGACTGACGAACCCCGGTGTTGTTATTGTTGTTGGCACTTTGGTATTTACCTTAAGGTAAAGTATAGGTAAGTAGTCAGTTAGTTTGTAACTTATTCTATTCTGTTCTAGTCATTATTCTATTCTAGTCATTATTCGTGATTTCATTCTAGTCTGCGTTCTAGTCTTCATCCTCACATATGAGGCGCTCTCTCTCTCTCTTTCATCCTCTTCTTTTCTGAGCATAACCTCTTCGGAGAAATTACTGAAGGCTTGCCATCCTTCCTCTGACTCGCACATTTTCTCAATTATTTTATCCAACGACAGATCTTCGCCTATTTCCGATTTCAATAAATTTCTTTCCGTGTTCCATTCAGGACATCTTTGTATTGTGTGCTCCGCCGAGTCCTCCTCTTCTTTACAAAATGGACAGATCGAGGTATCTACTTTACCAATGCGGTATAAATATGTGTAAAAACACCCATGGCCTGTTAGTAGCTGGGTTATGTGAAAGGACAATTCACCGTGGGTTCTATTCACCCATTGTTCCATGTGCGGAAGGATTGCGCTAATTGTTCTTATGCCTGCTACTCCTTGTCTTTGTAGGGATAACTTCCATTGTCTATTTAACAAGATTCTCTCCTCTGCTTTAATGTCTTTTTCTTCTAATTTATTATGTTCGCCTCTTCTTTTTAGCTCGTATATTCTAAGAAATACTCGTCTATAATAAGCTGCGTACAGAGGATCCGGTATTACTCTAGCCAGCAGGAGTGCTGCGTCTGCTGAAACGGTTCTGTAGCCAGCTATCGATCTTATTGCTATTACTCGTTGAACGCTTCTTAGCGCGACATTAATTTTCTTCTTATATACAGAGTCAGCCCATATGGGGGCCCCATACATAATAATCGAGTGCATCATGTGTGAATAGAATCTTCTCTTTTTTTCGCGCGGGCCTCCTAAGTTGGGTAGGAGACCCTGCAGGGTACGCGATACATTGGATACTTTCTTTTCCACATATATGAAGTGATCATAGAAACTCCAATCCTGATCGAGCAACAATCCAAGATATTTAATATTTCTACATGCTTGTACTTCCGTATTGCGTACTCTTATTGTATATATACTACTACTTTTATCTTTACTTTTAAGTTTATTATTATCATCAAGGATTATCACTCCTGTCTTGTTTTCGGTTATCTGCAGGTCGAGATGTTTTATCCTTCTCAAGATTCGACTTAATTGTAGATTACTTTTAACTATAGCCTCTTCTGTAGTGGTCGCAGTGGACACAACAAATGTGTCATCTGCGTATCCAATTATCATGCAGCCCTTCTCCAGTGGCGTGCGCAATACATAATCATAGGTGATGTTCCATAGGGTCGGTCCAAGGACCGATCCCTGTGGAACACCAGCCGTCATCTGTCTAATCATCGTCTCACCTTCAATAGTAGAATATTCAATGTATCTATCTTTAAGATAACTTCCCACAATCTTTTGAAGGTATGAAGGGAATTCCTTTTCCTTCAACGCTTGCCTGATTTTTGGCCATTTAAGCGAATTGAAGGCATTCGTTACATCTAAGCTGATACAGACAACCGACTTGATCTAGCCTCTTCTATTACTTCTTTAACGACCAGAAGTGCATCGCAAGTAGAAGTACTCCTCTTGAAGCCAAATTGATTGGGTGCGAGCCTGGCAGGTGGATGGGTATCCATCCAGTCTCGTATACGGCCTTCAATTATGCGTTCCATTATCTTGCCCAATTCATTTAGCAAGCAAATAGGTCGTACTTTTGGATCCATAAGATCTAAGTCACCCTTTGGTATTAAAACCAAGGCTGCTTTCTTCCATATCTTGGGGAATATTCCCATCTTGAGATATATATTGTACATAGCTGTCATTCTATTAAGTAGTGTATCTGGAATCTTTTTGATGAATGTCATTTTAATCCCATCGAGGCCAGGAGCCTTGGTAGGGCGGGATCCCTTTTTAAGTATATTACTTATCTCATTTATCAATACGTTATCTTCTTCTCTCCAAGTATCTTGCTCATCTTTTTCTTCATATGCATTCCACATAGGATCTTCCGGGAACAACTTATTTATAGTCCTATTTAGTACTTGTATATCCAACACTTCTGTAAGGCTGGGCGAAGATTTCTTTAGCCTTTTAAGGGCAATCCTGTAGGGAAGACCCCATGGGTCTGTATCCAGATTTTGGATTAATTCGTCCCATGCCTTTTTCTTTGCTTTTTTAATTTCATTTCTGAGATTCTTCTTGTCTTCTCTATATCTATCTTCTAGGAATATAATAAGATTAATATCCTTATTGCGTCTTCTATTAGCTCTCTGCCATTTTTTACGCGATGTCATGCATGTTTTCCGTAGATCATTGATTTTACTTGACCACCAATATACTTTGTCTTTAGTAATCTGTTTAGCTCTAGGCATAGCGTAATCACATGCGTTTGTTTCCTGTACCCACTGAGCAGGGCATTCTATTGTGTCCTCAGTAGTCGGTATGTTGATATTTTGCGGGGCCTCTATATAGCTCCACTCAATCGCTTCTCGAAATTTATCTTCATCAAATTTTGTATATGACCATCGTATGTATCGTTTTTTTTCCCTGCCGATATCCTTGTGTACGGTAATTAATATTGTAATAAATGTACATATGATTTGATAGCGTTTCGTCCTTCGAGACTGACCAATTTTCTATATGTGGTCTTAGGGTTATGTTACACCAGGTGATATCCACTATAGATGAGTCTTGATGCCGTACGCAAGTGGGTTTGCTTCCCTGGTTTACGAGTATCAAATCCCTACTGGTTATCCAATATGAGAGGCGATCTCCCCGCGGGCAATTGTAATTACAGCCCCATAATATAGCTTTAGAGTTAAAATCTCCTGCTATTAATAGATCTTCTGTTGCCTCTTGTACATGTAGGTCTAACTCGTCTAAGAACTCTTCGTATGTCTCAATGCTTACATTAGGCGATATGTACACCGATACAATTGTTAATTTTTTCCATTGAAGGGAGACCGAATAACGGCCCCTCTTTTTTAATACTCCATAAATAGGTAAATTTGGGGTTACATGAATAGCGGCATGACCATCTCGACTATTTAACCATGTATTCCCATCTGGAATAGTATATGGCTCTGCAATTATGGAGATGCAGATATTTTTCTCTATTTCTGTCTGTGCAAGTAAGTCTTGCGCCGCTCTACAATTATTTAAGTTTGTTTGAATTATTCTAATCATGTTATATAATTTGTAAATATGTAAATAGAATTGTACATATCACTCATCCATTAAATTATCATCATCAGTCTTCCGCTCTGATGTTGTTCCATCTATTCGCTCTGATGTTATTCCATCCATTCTTTCTGGCAAAGATTGCTCTTCTACCGTGCCAGATTTTTGCGTCTCGGGAACATCATCTGCTGTTTGCGGAGGTACATTCCTAGCATTTTGTGATACGGATACCTTAATTGCCGTGCATATCACTGATCCCATTCTATGGTCTCCATTGAGACCCAATTCTGTACATATTCTACACTTAGCCTTATTTGTGCATTTGGGAGCTATATGCCCCTCCATGCCGCATTTGAAGCAGCATCCGAGAAAGTTATTTTTTGATTTGCATTTCTCCCTTACATGCCCTACTCTCCAACACTTGTGGCACTGTAAAGGTCGGGATTTAATCATCTCAATTCTAACAATAGACCATCCAATTGTGATTCTCTGCTTTTCTACCAGAGTTATTGCCGAACTACGCGGGCATTGCGCCCATATAACTCCAGATCCTGAGCGGGTACGTCCGATTCTGCCCACTTTGATATCTTCATATTTACATTCGCCTTCTAAGGCGAGAATCTCCCGAACCTCATCCGCGGTGACAGATTCATCCATTCCATAGACTCTGATTTCACCCTTGACATTGGGTCTAGTGATCAAGGCTTCATCAGCTAGAATCTTCTGTACTTCTGCAGCCAGTTTATCTGCTTTTTCGTTATTATTAGGACCGGAGATCTCTATTATCGTAGCTCCGTTCATACCCTTTCTTACTCTAGGAGTTTGGATTTCCAAATTTTGTAGGGATATCTCTTTTCTAATCTTTTTGAGAGCTTCAGCATATGAGAAGCTATTATTACTTCCTATGATATTAATGGCTGCGGTCTTTGGCAGCTTCTTTTTCTCCTTTCCGATATCCTTTTTCTTTTCTCCTTTTCCTTTCCTAATCTTTCCTTTCTTACCAACTTCCTTCCATTCTCCTTCCGGTATGATCCCTTTTGTTTCCATTCTAGGGGGAATCAATTGGATGTTTCCTTTCAATTTGATTCCTTTCGGATTAAGGGTCTTTCCCAGGAGCTTCTCTTTAGGACTTGGGCCACTTTGCTGTTGGATGCTAGTTGAAAGCCTGAATACCATCGAGGTAAGTATAGGTTCCCTCAATGGAGAGGGATCCCATCCATCGAGACTATCTAATTTCCTTTTTTTATTTTCTGTTTCGGGTTCTACGTGAGGTTGCTGTAAGCAGGATTCACCCGTTATCGGCCAGGAATCTACTGTCTGTGATCTAGCTTGGGATAGCCTTTCCTGTGAACTCCAGTGTAATCTTCCTTCATCTTGGCTTCTCAATGGTGGCCATTCTTCGTGGGATCTTCTAGCACTCTTAGGTAAGTTCTTAGGTAGATTTTTCATAATTCCATATTTAGCGTCTAGGTTAGATTTTAAGCTAGGACTTAAGTTAGTTTTTAAATTAGACTCTAAGTTAGATTTTAAGCTAGGACTTAAATTAATTTTTAAATTAGTCTCTAAGCTAGTTATTCGATTAGTTTTTAAGTTATCGTTATTTCTTTCTAAACTGTTTTTAATTTTTCTTAATTCCTCTCTTATTCCTTTATTTTCAGTTTTTAATTCATTTATAACTTCTTTCAGTTCTGATATTTCTCTCTTCCTTTTCTCTTCTTCTTTTTTATTGGATTTCCTCTCTCTTTCTAACTCTTCTCTTAATGAAACTACTTTGGATCTAAGAAACTCAGGATCTCCGGTGGACTCGGTTTTACCTTGTAAAGCTCTAATCAAATCCTGTAGACATAACACTCGGTTCTTCAGCTGGCCACTCAATCCACCTTGCATACGACCACATTTGGTCCTAATAGTTTCTATGTCAGACATGAAATCCAATGCCTGCGCTCCTAAATCAGATGCTGTCATTTTTTGTAGCAACTCTTTTTCCATACCATCAGGTGCTTGTCCGACCTTATTCTGTAAGTCATTTTCCGCAACGATAGGATCTATAGCGCGGATCTTCCTTTTTGGTCTACCGACTTTCCGCCTATTAGCCTCTTTACCATCCGTTGACTATAGCATCCGTGACTGTAGCATCCGTATTAGAACCATTTGGCTCTCTACTTTCATCTTGGATCTCATTTGCCTTCCTGGATCTAAGTCTATTTTTAATTTTGGCTCTCCGAGCCCTCAGTTTCGGAGACTTCATCTCATCCGAATCGCTGTAATCGCCGATAACTCTATTCGCCTTCCTTTTTGTCGCTAGTGGCATATCCGCTTCTACCTCTACCTCCATTGTCGACTGAGTCTGCATGGACTCACCTTCCTCTTCCTCCATTAGATTGACCCAGCTCACGCTCTTTGCGTCCACAGGCAGAGCCGCTTCTTTGGTTACGCAGCCTGGGTCAATCTTGGGGATGGTTTCATCCCCAGCTTCTGTTTGTGCTAAGGGAGGAGGTTCCATAGCACCCATCGCATCCGTCTTCTCAACTTCTTCACATGCGGTGGTAGTCCTTCTCAATGCCTCGCCCATCATAAACGTGGCATCTTGCCCTTGGTATCCTCCTTGTCAGCCGCCGTCCCCTGGATCATCCGAATATCCTGGGGCGGTAAGTTTTCTCTTTCTGTGGAACTCATTTCATAGAGGCTAACGTGTTTTATTTTCCAGGGTGCACCTCCCTGGTGGGGTTTTAGGGAAAAACCCCCAACCCACATGCACACATCCACACACTCAATCACACAAACAGGAATTGGATCATGGGATAATGGAAAGGAAGAAGGAAAGGGTAGGGATGGGTAAGAAAAGTATAGAAAGGATAACAAAGGAAAGGAACAGGAATTGGGGAAACGAGAGGATTGGGGTGTTTTTCCACCCTTAACGGAATCCTCAACCCGGGCGATTGAAGTCAGGGCCGCCTACCCCTATGCGCATCAGGCCAGAGTGCCCGGAGGGAGCGCAACCCCCCTTCCTCCCCTTCCGGGGAGGGAAGTGCAATGCGAGCTCTTGGTCACCGTCCCCCGATCCCCTGGCCCCCCCGACACGCAAGTGTCAAAGTGGGGACCCGAGAGACCCACCGGGCCCCCCCCCCCGACACCGAGGTGTCGAAGTGGGGGGCCCGATGGGCCCGGAGACCGGGGGCCGGCTAAGCCCCTCCACCACGTCAAGGTGGCTCGCATCGGAGGAGAACCTAACCTAACCTTTTTTTTTTTTTTTTGGAAAATGCATTTGCGCATTCCCGGAGGTTTGCCGGGAAACCAGCAATCCCCGGGATATGTGGGACTCCGTTCCATACCAGAACGACTACCCACTAAAAAAAAAAACCCCACGAGTGTTCCTCCGCGGTCGGTGGGCGGCGAGGTGCGGGTCTCGCCGAAGTCACTACCACCGCACCACCGCACCTCGTCCGACCGGCAACACGGTTGCCTCACCGATGCCTGAGACGTCCGTGGCCGATAACCCGGTCAGGACGCCCTCAGGCAGGAGCCCGCGCACGTCGCGAGCTCCCCGCACTTACTACATTCACGGCCACCCCTGAACACCAACAGGGCGGCCGTGCCTCCTCGGGCCCGAAGGCCAAAGGGTGGCAGGAGATGAGGACCCACCATAGCCAACTACAGTCGGCCCCCACCTCCGCCTGACCCCGCCTCTGGCACATAACCGCGCCAGAGACAGGGCCACTACCATCCCGGGGAAAGGGGAAGGCTAACTAACTAACTAGCTAGCCCCTCCCCCCGATCCAATCAGCCAACTCCCTCACGAGGAGAGAGTTGGCCGCTTGGCCCTGCACGTGGTCCGCGTCCCACCCGTCGCCTCGCGACCCTCACCGGACGCGGCCCCGGCTCCTCGCTCGCTTCTTCCTCCGCGCGGTGGCCCCGACCTCTCCCGACCTCACCCCTCCGTCGGCGCGGTGGAGGCGGGCGTGTTCCCCGAGGTGCCCTTAATCGCCCGCGATAGGGCCCCTCTCCCGCTCCGCCTCCTCTTTAATACGGAGGACGGCCCCACAGAAGGTGGTAACCGCCCTCCAGTTCCCCTCGCTTTCGAGCATGGCCTTGACCAAGCTCGAGAGAGCGAGAGGTCCTCCCGCCCTAAGACCTCCCTTAGGTCACGGCGCAGCACATCCCACGCTGGACAATCCTCCAGTGTGTGCTGCGCCGAGTCCTCCTCGACGGGGTAGTGGTGGCACCGCCGCGTAACCTCTTTTCCTATGCCACACAGGTACGAACCGAAGCACCCGTGCCCGGTAAGCACCTGCGTCATGTGGTACGACAGCCCACCCCAGCGCCTGTCCGTCCAAGCTGACAGACAGGGCGCCAGGGCGCCGACGACCCTCGCACCAGCCCCCTGCTGGTATTCCTGGAGTCGCGTCTGCCACTCCAGGGCGAGCGTCCGCCGGAACCGGCGCCTCACCATTTCCCTCGTCCTAGCCGGGAGAGTCAAAAACTCCCTCCCTCTCGCGGAGCTCCCGCATACGCCGGTACTGCCCAGCGAGTGCAGATGCGAGGAGCTCCGCGGAAGGGATCCCGGCCAGGGCCAGGGCCACCTCAAACGCGATCGTTCTATAAGCCCGAACGGCCCTAAGGGCCAGCACCTGCTGCACGCGATGTAACATACCGCGCAGCTTGGCGCTGGCCCCCAGCTGTCCGGCCCACACCGGGGCCCCATATAGGGCCATGGCGTGGACCGTCCAGGCGTAGAGGCGCCTCACCCTCCCGTCTGATCCCCCCAGGTTGGGCAATAGACGACCCAAGGCCATAGCCGTTTGGGTCAGTCTGGGGACCATAGGGGGGTGGACGCCCTCGGAAGCCATCGTGCCAGACGATGGCCTCCGATTTTTGCGGCGCCACCCGGAGGCCGAGAGCCCTAATGGCCCTCACTACGCATGCCACCGCTAACGTGCCTCTTCCCAGTCGTCCCCCTCCGCCAGGACTATCGTGTCGTCGGCATAGCAGACCACACGACACCCCCGGGGGAGGGCCGCTGCAAGGACTGAGTCGTATGCGATGTCCCACAGGATCGGCCCCAACACCGATCCTTGCGGGACACCGCACACGACCCCCCTCGTCCTGTCGGCCTCGTCCCTGTCCGTATATGACAGGGACCGGCCGCTCAGGTAATCCTGAACGATCACCTGGAGGTACTCCGGGAAGCAGAATCTCCTCAGCGCCCCCCGAACGCACCCCCAAGGCAGGGTGTTGAACGCATTCGCGATGTCCAACGATACCCCCACCGACACCCTGCCATCTACCAGTGCGGCCTCCACGAGGGACCGCACTTTAAGCACCGCGTCGATTGTGGACCGTCCCTCGCGGAAGCCGAACTGGTGATCGCTCAGGTCCGGTCCCACCCGCCTCATGTGTTGGACGAGGCGGCTCGCGACCACCCTTTCCAACATTTTCCCCGCCTCGTCCAACAGGCAAATGGGCCGGAACGAGGATGGACTAACCTCCATCCGCTCGCGCCGAGCTCACACGTACGCTTACGCACACATCTCCGTTACCCTCTCCACTACGCGTGGCATGTTGCTTGCGGAGATAATCTTGCATCCCTGCCGCTTACTAACATGGCCTTACGGGGTCATGGTGCGGTCAAGTTAAAGTGCAAGCGAAGGTGATTCGATGTCGAAATCCTTCGTTGCACTTCCGTTTTTTTATCGAATTCGCGCGTGGTATGCTGAGACAGCGATTCTATGAGGTGAATGTTCGTTGTCGCATTTACCAATAATATTTTATGCTGACGCTTACTTTATACTTTAATTATATATATGCACTAATACTTTAATTATATATAGGTTATAGTCTGTGAGACTATAACAATATTTTGGCGCAGGTTTGTGGATTCGCATATCAGTTTATCCTCTTGTCGGCCATTCATATATTCTCGTAAACTCTGAAATTAAACACAATAATTTTAAGTGGTTTAAATTTATTACACATCAACAAAAATATTTTTACCTTCAACGTTTCCCAGTCATGTCGTAGCATATTCATATGCTCATCTTCTTCGAATTTTTCTATGCATTTCCATGATTCAAAATGTTCACACAGTCTATTTCCGAAACATTTTACTGTAGTGTGATTAGGATCTTCCCTATACATGCACCAACTTATACCACATTTTACAACTAAGTTCGCACAAAATTTTCGAGATTTGAAAAATCTCTTCAACGAATTTGTGCGAGGTTTTTTCAAGTCGAATTCTTGATGTCTTATAAATTGAACGACTGATGTTTCCAGATTCTTCTTCGAAAATTGTTCCGTCTTATACTGAAATAATTCTTCAACACCACTAGTTCGAAAATCAAAATCAGGTTCCTTATCAGATGATTCTTCCTTCGCATACAATTTCTTCCATTTCGCTATCCTCTCTTTCTCAATCTCAATTTTTTCCACCTCAACAGAATCCATCCAGTCATCATCATCATCCATATCTTCATTGCCGATGATTACGTTTTCTTCAGCCATTGCACTAACGTAACACACACAAGACTAATAAAACGCAAACGAACAACGAAAGAAATAATATTCTAACGTCGCAGACTCCTTTTCATTATATATCTTTTAATATCTTGCGTCTTATTCCAACTAGAGCATCGCGTCTCATCTACCTAAGCATTTCTCTACATCTTTAGCGGAGCATGTTGAGAATAATTGTCGACTATTCTTATTCGTATGGAAGGAAAGAAATAAAACCATAAAAAAAATAATTATCTATTGCACGCATCGTAAAAAATATCATTTACAACACATGTTAATAATTTGCAATCGATCAATGATTCGCTGTTAAAAACATCACTCTCGCGTATCGTTTTTACAGCATCACATACAGTAGTAATATTATTACATTGTAATACAATTTCAAATTGTTTAAATTTTTCATTAACAAGATACGTATTCTCGCATAACCAATTGTGCATATGATCGATACAATTTTCAAAATTAAATAAATGTAATAACGTTTCTGGTGTACAAAGATTGCCATATAAAGTGAGTTTTACAATTTTTGATTGATACATTTCAATCGTTAAATCTCCAATCCTTAATGGGGGAGCAGTCGATTGTAGAAATTGTTCAACATCTGCTTGTTTCCGCATTAACAAATTCTCGACGGATGTCCGAATAGACAATTATTATCGTTGCGCGTATCAAAATCAATTCGTGACGAGCGTTAATCACAACGCGTTTATAATCTTCGCAAAATCCCAGCAACATGTTGAGCGGCACGCAAAAGTTGAAATAATTTTTGTCACCGTACGTCAATTCCCACGATGCGTTCTTCAAGTTTACTTTTCTGGTGTGTTAGAGAAACATAATTTTTGAGCGTCGATGTTATTCCAACATTTCTGTTACGATCAATCTCTACTCCGTCGAGTTCCTATCGAAGCTCATCAAACATGAATGCGACGCAATTGTTTCCCAATACAACCTTCATTTCATCATTCGCTTTACACACATTAAACCTTCCCTCGATGTAAAGAAAGCTTTCGCACGGTAACGTGTACAAATCCTGATGTTGTATAGGAATTCGTATCTCGTCACTGTATCCAAGCGTCGTATTAGCGTACGGATTGTACGTATGAGTCTCAATCTTGATGATGCGATCGTCAAAGACTGGATCACTTCCGATATTCAAAATATCAATCATTCTTTTCGTACGATGAATCCCAATGATTTCAAAAATTCACGATTCAACGCGCTCAGCTTTTTTTAACGGCTATCTTATTATTGTCACCCGATAGTGCTCGCCTTACCGCAATAGTATTGTCTCTCGCGTACTCTGTTTCGTTCAGCACAAGCATACTATGTTTTTCGCCGCCGTATATGCAATCTTACGGTAATTTCCTCTCTTCGAAAATCATGCAATCGACCTCTTTGATCGATAATACGTATCGTTAAATCCGTAATGCTCCGTACGACGATCGGCAGATAAATGATCTGTGCCGGCATTTCCGATATCTTATATCCTGGCGGTACGCTCGGTGAAAATTCATGTATCTGTGTACGCGCATACCGTTGCAGTACGCACCAGTAGTCACGTTGCATTCTATATGAATAATATTTACGTTTATAATATTAACAGGTTCGTCCGATTCATACCACTTGCGAGGTTGCAATATACGATTCGACGAGAATCCAAGCAAGGATCCTACATTGTCGGGTTTGGTAAAGTTTATTCTGTAGCCGCATTTGATTTTGCTCTTTAGCGTACTGTGATTGGCGCGGAGCGCTATTGGATATTCCTCATCATAATCGTTTTCAACATCTCTGGAAAGGTATTCTTCTCGCAAAATTGCGCGTTTGAGATAGTCATTTATGGCATGCAATTCATACGATCCTTCGGGAATCGTAATTTCCGTGTCGTTATTGCCAAAATAAAATTTATTATTCGAAAAATTTACGTTCGGAATCGTATGATAAGTTTCAAAATCCGTTAATCCGAGCTCGTAATCGGCATCGGTCAAATCTATAGCGGGGAAAAAGCTTACAGTGAGAACGCTGCTTTTGCCAGTCAACGTAAGTGTCACTGACATGTCGATCGAATACTGAGTCATGACGATGGATTGTCAGGCTTTAAATTGATCGTTTGAAGAAATTTTAAACACAACTGTCCACAGATACTCTGATTATAACTTTGATAAGATGTGTAATTGTATTCAATTTTCACTCGTCCGAAATATCGCACAAGTTCCTTGGGTGGTCGAAGATTTCCAAAACTGTCGAAATATACGACACGATCACCCCTCTTTGCGTATGCTACCCAATGAGTACCGGGATCATCCAAATTGACGATACCGCTCTCGTTTCGTCGTACACCGCTTATCGGTAAATTATTGCGCATGAAAACACCTCTAAAGAAAGGTATGCGCATACGTTTCGCAAATTGTTCCAATTGCACGTTAGTTGTCGCACCCGTAGGCATTTTTAATGTTTTTTCAACGTTTTTTTTCTCTCAGACTTTGTTGAAAATCCGTGTCCACGCTTGTACGGAGCGAGATAAAGTCCGCGACCTTCCATAGCGCGATTGTGACGCTGCATCTCTTCCAGCTGACGTTGCGCAGCCTTGCTATCGTTTACCGCCTTTGCGATTCCCGCCGCACCGCCGGCCAATGAACCGACAACTCCCAACAACGGTAAAAGTGGTAAAATACCACCACGTTTCGCTACTGGAAGTATTCGTTTTTTCCTCCTCTTTGTTGTCGATGGCTTTTTCATCCCCATGCCGAGTTTTGTCTTTGCCTTCATTGCCGCCCATACAGTCGTAGCGGCTGCTCTTTCACCGAGAGTCGAATCCCTCGCGATAATGCGTTCTCGCGCTCTTGCAGCTAGTATGCGATATGACGTTGGTCGAGGACGTTGCATCGCGGGTAAGTAATGTCGTGTTCGCGACACGCTGCGTCCAATGGATTGATGCCTCGATCACCTCTAGCCAATCATTTCTCTAATCGAGTTCCCGGCCCGCAAAACTGATAACCGGGAATATGTAATTCGATGGGAAGCGCGTTTATAGCACGATTTAAAAGACCGCTGCCTCTTACGATTCTCGCTGACATTCGTAGCAATCTTTTATTAACGGTGGTGTCGTCGGTGTGTGTTCGTTGCCACGGCTGGTTGTAATGTCGTATGCACGAACGATATTGTCGAATCTCCGAATCAGCCTTTATATATTCGGAAGCTTGTCCCACAATCGTTCCACGTAATCACCGAAATTTTGCAGTAAAAGAATCTTTGGGCTATACTGCAGTTGTTCGGCGGTAAGTCGGAAAATGTCTCTCTCATCCGACAGAAGGAGAAACATTTTTGATACTGTGCG